TGCACTACTTCAAATAAAAGAACTGTACCAAATAACAGAAACCACATCACTTGAGGACTACCAACAGCAGCAACAATTAAAATGGATAGCAAATGTAACTGAAAAGAAAATAATGACATAATCAAGATATTAATGTTCTGCACTACTTCAAATAAAGAACTGTACCAAATAACAGAAACCACATCACTTGAGGACTACCAACAGCAGCAACAATTAAAATGGATAGCACATGTAACTGAAAGAGAAAATAATGACATAATCAAGATATTAATGTTCTGCACTACTTCAAATAAAGAACTGTACCAAATAACAGAAACCACATCACTTGAGGACTACCAACAGCAGTAACAATTAAAATGGATAGCAAATGTAACTGAAAAGAAAATAATGAAAATCAAGATATTAATGTTCTGCACTACTTCAAATAAAGAACTGTACCAAATAAAGAATCACTTGAGGACTACCAACAGCAGCAACAATTAAAATGGATAGCACATGTAATGAAAGAGAAAATAATAATAATCAAGATATCTGCACTACTTCAAATAAAGAACTGTACCAAATAAGAGAAACCACATCACTTGAGGACTACCAAAGCAGCAACAATTAAAATGGATAGCACATGTAACTGAAAGAGAAAATAATGACATAATCAAGATATTAAAATGGATAGCACATGTAACTGAAAGAGAAAATAATGACATAATCAAATAAAGAACTTCAAATGAACTGTACCAAATAAGAGAAACCACATCACTTGAGGACTACCAACAGCAGCAACAATTAAAATGGATAGCAAATGTAACTGAAAGAGAAAATAATGACATAATCAAGATATTAATGTTCTGCACTACTTCAAATAAAGAACTGTACCAAATAACAGAAACCACATCACTTGAGGACTACCAACAGCAGTAACAATTAAAATGGATAGCAAAGGAAAATAATGACATAATCAAGATATTAATGTTCTGCATACTTCAAATAAAAACTGTACCAAATGGAAACCACATCCTTGAGGACTACCAACAGCAGCAACAATTAAAAATGGATAGCACATGTAACTGAAAGAGAAAATAATGACATAATCAAGATATCAACGTTCTACACTACTTCAAATAAAGAATGAAACCAAATAAGGACTACCAACAAACCACATCACTTGAGGAATACCAACAAGATATCAACAACTAATTCAAATAAAATGGATAGCAAATAAGTGTAACTGAGGAGAGAAAATAATGACATAATCAAGATATTAATGACATTCAAGCACTACTTCAAATAAAGAACTGTACCAAATAAGGAAACCACATCACTTGAGGACTACCAACAGCAGCAACAATTAAAATGGATAGCACATGTAACTGAAAGAGAAAATAATGACATAATCAAGATATTAATGTTCTGCACTACTTCAAATAAAGAACTGTACCAAATAACAGAAACAACATCACTTGAGGACTACCAACAGCAGCAACAATTAAAATGGATAGCAAATGTAACTGAAAGAGAAAATAATGACATAATCAAGATATTAATGTTCTGCACTACTTCAAATAAAGAACTGTACCAAATAACAGAAACCACATCACTTGAGGACTACCAACACTACTTCAAAATAAAACACTGTACCAAATAATGAAAAAATGGATAGAACATGTAACTCAAAGAGAAAATAATGACTTAATCAAGATATCAACATTCTGCAGTACTTCAAATAAAGAACTGTACCAAATAAGAGAAACCACATCACTTGAGGACTACCAACAGCAGCAACAATTAAAATGGATAGCACATGTAACTGAAAGAGAAAATAATGACATAATCAAGATATTAAGATATCAAATGTTCTGTACTACCAAAGCAGCAGAATTAAAATGGATAGCACATGTAACTGAAAAGAAAAATAAAAGAATATTGTGTTCTGCACTACAAATAACAGAAACCACATCACTTGAGGACTACCAACAGCAGCAACAATTAAAATGGATAGCACATGTAACTCAAAAGAAAAATAATGACATAATCAAGATATCAATGTTCTGCAGTACTTCAAATAAAGAACTGTACCAAATAAGAGAAACCACATCACTTGAGGACTACCAACAGCAGCAACAATTAAAATGGATAGCACATGTAACTGAAAGAGAAAATAATGACATAATCAAGATATTAATGTTCTGCACTACTTCAAATAAAGAACTGTACCAAATAACAGAAACCACATCACTTGAGGACTACCAACAGCAGCAACAATTAAAATGGATAGCACATGTAATTGAAAGAGAAAATAATGACATAATGAAGATGCTGATGTTCTACAGAATTTCAAAGAAAAGGCTAGGAAGGAAACCTCCATCAATACTGGAAAGAGCAATAACAGTTACTGGACTTGAGATACTTTTTTTTTCTGAAACCAACAGAATAGGCTCGTTGGTCAATGTATCCGAATGTTTCCTTATAAGGCAACAGTTAATATTCCCATTACCATTAAAAT